AACCTGATGGAGGGTGAATTTGGCTACAACTATAAACTTACGCTACCAGGAGCGGACTGACAACTCATGGGGTTCCGGGCAATAGGGGATCATGGGGCCCCTGTGTCCTTGCCCAAACTCAAAAAAAGCCTATGAAAAAGGTACCAGGGGCATCTCATGGGGCCCCCTACTGACCCCGGGCCCTCGGGCAGTGCCCGAGTTTCCAAATGGTCGGTCCGCCCCTGTACACTACTAAGAGGCAGGGCCCTAGAAATGTGCATTGCAAGCTGCAAAATAGTATTTCTCATAGCCTATTACAAAAGTATACATTATACCTATATTGCTTGTTTGTGCAAATCTGTACTTTACCCAAGCAGGTCAAGAGCTCTACTGGAACTGTGGCTATGCCAGAAATCAGAGCATAAGATGCTTCAGAATGGAGGTTCAAATAAATCCCCACTTTGTTCAAGTGGAGAGGTTGGGGTGTGTGTGGGGTATAGACACAGGCATGTTTATCCTCCCCTCCCCCAATCAATGCTGTGACAATTGGAACAAGCATACGACCAGTTAAATCTGAAAGCCAGAACTACTGGCCTACGTCCTATTTAGCCTTCAAGGTACTAAACATCATAAATTAGGGTTATTTTATTTTTTCAAACGCTGTCAGATTCAAACAGCAGAAAACAGAACTGAAAACTAGATGAGAATGATTAAAAACCAATGCTTTATTCTTTGGAAAATATAATGGTATATTCAAGAATATAATAGTTGGTAAATAAAAGAGAACAGTCAGGCCGGTTTGGGCTACCTGACCTCATGGGCTTAGGCTGGAGCATTTACAGTATCCCTCTGCATCCCCTGTAGTTATATCCTGGATAATAAATGTTTCTGCTCAGTATCCCCATTAAAATGTCAATGCATTACAGTAGCAGTGTATTGTCACCCATATTTAGGACAGATTTGATAAACATAATTAATTTATTATTGCTCATTCTTAGCAGGATTTATCTTTTTCTGGTCACGTACTTCTATCCATACCTCTTGTTTGGGGATGAGCAAATGAGTAAATCTATCAGGGTTCAATTTGCAGCCAGTTTTCACAAAGCATCCTCAAAATTCATAAAATTCAAACTTTTCCTCGAACCCCAATGAAGTCTATGAAGTGGAAGTGCGGAAATCAAGGAGCTCAGTTTGTTCCTTTTGTGGGACTAATAAACAAACTATTTTAAAAAAGAAAAATAGAAACCCAGGCACTGTCATGGGGGACATGTGCCAGTGTAAAAAAAAAACAAAACAAAGGGAATGAAGGAAGAAGCCTTTTCATGTGGCTTCAGGAGCTATATTGAAAATACACAAATCCATTAAAGCATAAATAAAGGCAAAACCCTTTTTTTTAGTTTCGGATAGAGTGGAGAGGGTTTAGACTGCTTGTTATTTTATATTTCTGTCTGTGTCCCCGTTAGGGAGATTCAGCCTTTCTATTTGTCCAAATTTACCATTATCATTGAAAGTTAAAGAAAATCCAGAATTTTGAGTTATCCCCAGATAAGTAGTAGAGTGAAAATTTTCCATTGGGGATGCTAGTTCCTGGTGACCTGGGGAATTCCCTTAATTTGCAAGAATTTCCTGTCACTTCCTGTTTGGCTATGGGACAGGATGTGAAGGGAAATCTCCGCTATGGGACAAGGCAAAAAAAATTTTATGGGGTCAAAACCCTCCATAATTCTATCCCAAATGGGCAAAAAAGTTTTGCTTATAGTTCTACTTTAAATTACAGGTTTGGGGAAAGCGTTAAAGTTGTATATACTATTACGTAACAGTACATTGTTCACAGATAGCCTCAGAATTGCAAACTAGTGGTGTACATATATAGCTCACAACCCCAGTTCAGAGCTCTATAGCAGATTTGTCAGCTTTCCCTAACTAGCCCCAACACATGCTGCAAGCCCAACATTTTTATAGTAAGTGGTCTGGCTTGTCAATTCTTTTATATTATTGGCTCAGAGGGACCCATCTGACCAGGGCCAAAGGTTATGCAGTGCATTATGGGCTCAAGGGTCAATTTTCAGCCACAAGTGCTACGTTTCAGCAAAACTGTTAAATACTCAAATCTTAGGTGGCTAGGAACCCAAACCTCATCCCTACTCCTGCACTGTAAAAGTAAGCAAACTATTGAAAAGCTCTTAGAAACCAGTTGGATTCAATATATGAAATCTTCAGTTTTATTTAGGATCTACAAAATGAATTTGGCTGCAACTTTTTAATGTGCATCTGAGTGACAGTAAACCGAATAAAATATGTTTTTCTACTTAAAGCACATCTTTATTCTTTATTAATATGAAAATGAACCTCATAGATATGTAACAGACACCTTTCCAGTCCCATAACCTGCCAATGATGTCCTCCAGACTCCTTATTCTAAGAATGATATTAGAAAAGAGTTAGGCACACCCCACCCTCTATATGCCCATGTGTTGCCTTGTGTTGTAAGCACCAAACATTGCATTACAGTAGTCTGTAGATGATATAACCACATCAATGCAGCAATATAAGAAAATAGCACTATAAGTCAGCATAATACATATTATTACAATTCAATAAATATTCTCATTTCACTTACAGTATATTAAAGTGGTTACAAAAACCTTCTGTATGCAGCAGCCCCCTAGACCACCAATACTTACCTGAGCCCCATCATGATCCAGTGGTGTGCACGAGAACCTCGGCTCTCCGGGGAATCTCCCTTCTCATTGGCTGAGACAGCAGCAGGACCCATTAGGTCCCATTGCTGTCAATCAGAACCAGTGAGCCAATGAGGAAAGTGAAGGGATGAGGCCAAGTCATGGCAGGAGGAAGGAGTAAGGAGTGCAGACAGGGGACCCAAGAAAAGGAACATCGGGGGTTTCTCTGTGCAAAACCACTTTAAACACTAGATGCTGCTCAAATGACATGTCCAAGCCATTTATATAATACTATACCCAAAAATATCAAGTGCAATCTGTGCAAATCACTTCAAATATTGTGGTTTACACTGGTATGGGAAACATGCATAATTGCTTGGAGAACATTTATGGCAGTAGTGATCCTTGGAGGACAAAGAAACACTTAGATGATGTTTATTTAGAGACTTTTATTGAAAAATTTTCACATTTACTTTGTATTTGTTCACAGCAATTTTGTGTATAATTTTGTTGGATTCAAGTATTTGTTGAATAGGGAATGCTTGTATACTTAGTATTATTATTTTATAGTTATTGTACATACATTTATGTTTACTTGTCACATGGAATGTTGATATATAACACAGTATTCAAATTGCATAGATTGAGCGTACACATTTCCAGCTCTTAGTCTGTATATAAACGGCCTTGGGAGGAAACAGCTATACCAGGATCATCCCTGCAGCCATGATCCTGGTTTCAAAGCATCCAGCTGGCAATCAACTTTACTGTGAAAGGCAGGGGCGGACTGACAACTCATGGAGCCCTCAAGCAATAGCAGATCATGGGGCCCCTGTGTCCTTGCCCACACTCAAAACACACCCCAAAAAGCCTATAAAAAGGTACCAGGGGCATTACATGGGGCCCCCTACTGACCCTGGGCCCTCGGGCAGTGCCCGAGTGCCCTAATGGTCAGTTCGCCCCTGGAGAAAGGTATCTGGGTGGGTGTAGATCACTTTTACAGGGTTCAGGAGATGGCCACCCTCCCCACCTCCCCAGCTGCTGTTCGTGGGCTTTTCCATCCCATCATGAAGCCCAGAACTGCTGCAAGCAGTTGGGCCAGCTGAGCATAGAAGAGACGGAGGAGCATCCTTTCTGCTCTATCCTCTGTGACCAATGAAGTATTACCTCACTTCTAGTTTTGGTTCCGTAGTTTGCCGTTATTTCACAGGTGTGCAATATTTTAAATCTTCACATACTTGGTATCTATTTACTTGATGCAACATCATCTTTTTTATTTTACCACAAAAATAGGTATTGTATTATGACTGTGTGCGTTAAATGCATTTAAGTGTATCTTTTACTGAAAATTTGTGTTTGATAAATGGATGCGCAAATATCATATGACATGAACAATTGCGACAAGCACCATATTATTCTCTATGACCTCTGGTTTCAGAAAATATATTGGGGTTGATTTACTAAAGGCAAATAGGCAGTGCACTGCAAGTGCAGTTGCTCTAGATCTGAGGGGGAGCTCTGAAATGAGGGGAGGCTTTGCTGATTTCTATCATCCAATCATGTGCAAGCAAAAATGCGCATTTTTTTTCAGTGGCCCTCTTCTCAGATAGCTCCTGCTTGAGATTGAAATATCATTGGTGAAGTTCATTTGATTATCCCCATCCAGGTTCACATTGTGACAATATACGGCCTGCATTGAGGTATTGTATCTGTTTTTTTTTTTATATGTGGTTTATGTGGTTGATACCCGGTCAGGATGCACAGTAATCTTTACTGATGTGCATCCCCTCCCTCCTAGATTGTAAGCTCCAAGGAGCAGGGCCCTCCTGTCCCTCTTGTATTGAACTGTATTGTTGCTGTAATTTGTAAAGCGCTGAGCAAACTGTTGGTGCTATATAAATCCTGTATAATAATAATAATAATAATAATCCTGTATACACACCTGTTACTTTGTTACCTGTATGCCTTCTATTCAGACATGCGTTTTACAGCTTTTCTAAATGCTTTTACTACTGTGTATCACTTTGTTGAAATTCAATAAAATTTTAAGTGATAGAAAAAAAAAGTGGGTTTTTTTTATATTCTTTTCATGTGATTGAGTATTTTTTGCAAAGTGAAGCTGTGGAGAAACTGCACTTGCAGTGCATAGTATATTTTGCCTTTAGTAAATCTAAGTAATATTCTAGCAAAAAATGCAGATTTTAACAAAAGTAAAAATTGCCCTGTGGTGAATTAAAGTAGAACTAAAGCAAAACTTTTTTTTCTTTTTTGGATAAGGTAAGGGAGGCTTATAATTTTTAACCATCTGGTTCCAATTTTTCCTTCCACAGCTAAAAAAGGAAGTGAGAGGAAATTCCTGTAAAGCGAGGGAACCCCTCTATTCCTGTTCTGGTGACAACCCAAAATTTGTGATTTTCTTTTACTTTCGTTCTTGATGGCAATGGTAAGCAGGACTAACGAGGGGGTGAATCAAACAGCAAAAAAAGGTGTTATAACTTTATCCATTTCTAAAAAAGGGTTTTGCCTTTAGCTAACCTTAATAATATTTTGAGTACATTATATATTATGTTTTGGACCTTGATTTACTATATGTATATAGCAACCACAAGAAGGAAGGGTGACATTTTGGAAACTGACATATCTAGTTGTAGAAACTCATGCATAGCAACACTTGGGCTCAGAAACATCACACTGCATTTTCTTGTAGGTGCTACATACAGTTGCAAGAAAAAGTATGTTGAACCCCTTGGGATTACGTGGAGTTTTGCATGAATTGGGTATAAAACGTGCTCTGAACGTCATCTAAGTCACAACAATAGAAGAAAACACAGTCTGCTGAACATAACACTAATACACAAATACATTAGATGTTGCCATGGTTTAATTTACATAACATGTAAAGATTCACAGTGCATGGAGGAAAAAGTATGTGAGGCCCTAGCTTAATGACTTCTCCCAGAGCTAATTGGAGCCAGGAGTGAGCCAACCTTGACTCCAATCAATGTGATGATATTGGATGTGTTGCTGACAGCTGTCCTGCCCTTAAAAACACACACACCTGTTTTGGGTTTTACTGGTTTCAAGAAGCACTGTCTGATGTGAACCATGCCTCGCAGAAAAGAGCTCTCAGAAGACCTACGATCAAGAATTGTTGACTTGCATTAACCTGGAAAGGGTTACAAAAGTATCTCCAAAAGCCTTGATGTTCATGTTGTCCACGGTAAGACAGACTGTCTACAAATGGAGAAAGTTTAGCACTCTTGCTACTCTCCCTAGGCGTGGTCATCCTGTTAAAATGACTGCAAGAGCACAGCGCAGAATGCTTCATGAGTAAAGAAGAATCCCAGAGTGTCAGCTAAAGACCTACAGAAATCTCTGGCACACAGCTAACATTTTTTGTTGAAACATCTAGGAAAACTTTAAACAAGAATGGAGTACATGGGAGGACACTACAGAGGAAGCCATTGCTGTCCAAAAAGAATATTGCAGCACGTTTTGAAGTTTGCAAAAGAGCACCTGGATGTTCCACAGCACTACTGGCAAAATATACTGTGGACAGATGAAACCAAGATTGAGTTGTTTGGGAAGAACACACAACACTATGTGTGTGTGTTAGAAAAAAAAAAGGCACAGCACATTAACATCAAAACCTCATCATCCCCACTGTAAAACATGGCGGAGGGAGCATCATGGTTTGGGGCTGCTTTGCTGCCTCAGGGGCCTGGACGGATTGTTGTCATTGAAAAATGAATTCCAGAGTTTATCAAGACATTTTGCAGGAAAACGTACGACCATCTGTCCGCCACTGAAGCTCCGCAGAGGATGGTGATGCAACAGGACAATGACCATTAATTCAACAAAACAATGGCTGCAACAGCACAGAATACGCCTTCTGGAGTGGCCCAGTCAGAGTCCTGACCTCAACCCGATTGAAATGCTGTGGCATGACCTTAAGAGAGCGATTCACACCAGACATCCCAAGAATATTGCTACACTGAAACAGTTTTGTGAAGAGGAGTGTCCAAAATTACTCCAGATTGTTTTGCAGGTCTGATCTGCAACTACAGGGAACGTTTGGTTTGAGGTTATTGCTGCCAAAGGAGGGTCAACCAGTTATTCAGTCCAAAGGTTCACATACTTTTTCCTCCCTGCACTGTGAATGTTTACATGTTATGTGCAATTATTCCATGGCAACATCTAATGTTTGTGTAGTATTATGTTCAGCAGACTGTGTTCTTCTATTGCTGTGACTTAGATGACGTTCAGAGCACATTTTATGCCCAATTCATGCAAAACTCCACGTAATCCCAAGGGGTTCACATACTTTTTTCTTGCAACTGTAAATCAATTAACCTTTATGAAAAAGGTGTGCTGGACACATATTTATCAGGATTTTCAGTTAGCCATTGGAATGTCATCAGAAATGAAAAAGCCACCCGCGTAAACAATTCTTCCTCCACTAAACCTGTCACCCATATCTACAGTATTTTTTTTTGGCTTCAAACTTGGTCTGAAAAAGTTATTGTGATCGTACATTTTCAGCTGACATATGTAAATACAGTGCTATATACTGTACACTTTTACTTTACAGTTCTACAAAGGGGAGAAAACATAGCTTCACAATGTTAAAAAATGTTTGCTGACCACTTCTCCAATATGTTACAACTTTTTATCAAGGTTACAGCACATGTAAACATAGTGCGTCCCAGCCAAGTGCCTTTGTTCAGTCAATTCTGAAATAGGGAAATACAATAACATTCTCATTAAATACAAAGTAAGTATTATGTGTGGGAAGTGTCGTATCTCAGCAGTGTAGACAGACTGTTAACAGGTCACCATCTTTATTATTCACACAAACTTCCTGCTTCATCGCCTCCTACTACTTCTTAAAGCAGAAATGCCATAACTTTCAGATAAAATGGCAATAATGGCAATACACAGAACTTAACAAATGAACCCCCCCCACACACACACACACACTCTGTAATGTAAGGACATATCAAATGATCTGAATTTATTTAGATCCATCCATTTTTATTCTAGAGAGCATAGTGTGAATATTCTAATAAGATTCTTTTTGTATTGAGGTTGAACTTGAAAGACCATTTGTTTAACCCTTTGGCGCCTCCCGGCCCTTTAAGGGTTTCAGAAGCTGGGAGGCATGGTGGGGTTTTAAGGTCATGTGACCGCCATGATTCGCCATCACGGCGATCACATGATCGAGAAAGGTCCTGATCAAAAGAGGAGATCGGGACCTTTCCGTGTGCTGGGAGCATGCAGGGCGCGCGCTCTCAGCACATATGTTCTTCTTAATTGCACGCAAATGTGCGGCCGCTCGGCGTCAAGGCCCAGGTCCCGGGAGGCCGCACATTTGCGTGCAGCCGACGTGAAGAGGTTAATTTGCATGTGCACGGCCCAAAAAAGTCAGTGGGAATGACGAAAAAAATTAATGAATTTGTATAAATTGATTACGTTAAAATGAATATAGCCAATCTTCCGAAATAACAAAAGAATAACAGAACTTCCGAAAATATGAATCGATTCAGATCAACGGATATATACTCTCCTGCAATAACAAATCATTCTGAAACCAAATCATTCTAACATAACAATTACGGCGATACACAATTATTTGTTTAATGAATTAAACTGAAACAAAACACATTTTCCCATTGTGCACGTCTCTAGTTTCATCCTTTCTGAGTAAGGCACACAAAGGTGATTTCAGCATAGTCAGCTATAAACCATAAATAATAGTTTGTGAATCCTAGAAATGAAGCAAATTCTGCTTTATCTTTTGGCTCAGGTAATTCATGTATAGGGTTGTATAGCCAGTGATGAGAGTTTGTGGCCTGCAAAGTCAACTTCAGCTTGTGCAATTACACATTTTTCTTTGTTTAGGGTGATGTTGTACTCCATCAGTCTCTAAAGATTGAACTGTGTTCTTCCAGAGAGGGTGTATGAATAAGGATATCATCCAAGTAAATGGTTACACCAGGTTTTCCTGCAAAAACAGTGACTGTTATTTTTTACAGCTCGGAGCTGAGCACAGTCCAAACGGCATGTGTTTAAACCGGAAAAGTCCCACATTTGTAATGAAAGCTGTTAGGTTCCTGGCCTGCAATACAAGATTCATTTGTAAATAGCCTTTATGGCGGTTTAGTTTAGTGAAGATTTTTGACCCATGGCATTGGGAAATTAAATCTTCTAGAATAGGCAGTGGGTAATAGTTCAGTATTATTGCTTTGTTTACCATAGTCAAATTTGTCCTTCTTCTTGTTGGCTTTGACTACATTGGAAACCCATGGGAAGGAATTGGGAAGGAGTCAGTATGCTCTATAGAGAAGGATTTTGTGCAGTCCTCCTCAATTGTGGCCCTAACTTAGGGGTAGGCAAGCTTAAAGAGGTAGAGAACTACCTGAGCAACATGGGAGAAGTCAAAGCTCACCAAGCACAGTGTCACCTCCTCACACTTAATTTAAAACTCTAATTGACCTTCTACCATGTCACAATCGCGTGCATTGCATGGTAATCATGGGTTTAAATCAGGTGGTGAGGAGGAAACATACTGTATCACCTCATCACCAGCTGCCAAACACACTTGGGTCGCTTTGCAGAGGAGCAGTAGTGCCTTCTGCACTTGTGAATGGGTCCTTAGTTGCTTTCGTCAGCAGCACTCTTAGAGCTCGTTCACATGTAAAGTTAGGGGGTGGTAAAACGTTGTGGTTGAGTCACGGTTTTACCTCCCCCAATCCCTACCCACTTTAGCTGCTGAGGCAGTAGCCAAAGGTATACACATGCTGCAGCAGTAATTACACACCCTGTTGCTTTTGGTGGGGGCTACTAACTGCCAATCAGATGCATTTAAGTAAATGGGGCCACTCTGCAAGTGCCCAATAAATGCATGCTTCTGCGGGGTCCAAGGGGTTAAAGCAGATGGTGAGAAAGCAACAAACCGCTGCCTGTTTAACCACTTGTTTGCTGTATTGTACAATGCTTCAGGGCACTTGCAGAGCAGCCTCATTAACTTGAATGGGTCATGCTTGCAGGTGCTACACCCACCAACCATGACAGGAGCGTAGGAGCCAGCACTACAGAGGAGACATCGGCTTATATGGCTCTTGCTCCCTACTACAGCTCCAGCTGTACAAGTAGTCCCTCAGCATTGCTCTCTCTTTGATGCTCTGGGATGGCGGGTTAGAAAGTCCAGACCATGATCTACCATTCACCTGGCTGAGATCTACTGATAGATCATGATCTACTGGTTTTTGACCCTCACCCTAACTGCTAAGGGAGGCCTAATTATGAGAAAATTTGTGAAAGTGACTTAATACAGTAAAGGTCGGTGAGTATCTTTCTTTCCAGACACTGTCTATCAAGCATATTTCAGCATCGGTATGATCCAGAACTTTAACTCCCAGTGCATGAAACAAGTCAAGTCCTAAGAGGTTAGCTCCACTCTCTATGATATAAATTGCAAAACTGCCCAAATGCTTATTTTGGTGTGTGACAGGTAAAGTTACCATACCCAGCATTTACATTTGGGTTTTACTGTAGCCTGTTAGGGTAGTCACCTGGAGTGGATAATGATGAAAAAGGGCATATTAAGTTGCTGCATTCAAAATGGAAACCTTTTCTGTGTCTAACAGCAGCATGATTTTGATATTAGCGATTACACAGTGACAGAATTTAACATTTATCTGATCCCTTCCAATTGCATAAATCTACAGGGCATCAGACCTGATCTGCCTGTTTCAAATTATGAAGAGAGGTACTTGGGGTGGAGCGGCAACATTTTACATAGTGGTTTAGTTTGTTACAGCTCTTGCAGCATTTGCTTTGAGCAGGGCACAGCCTAATGCCTTCCTTATGGCAGTTACAGTACCTCCACAGTTAAACAATGTGCATTTGGTTTACTGTCAGTCAGTTTTTGTACTTGAACAGGGCCTCCTTACCATCCATGCAGCATGTAGGCAACATATTAATGGCTTCCTGCACAACCATTTCCACCTGGCACCTAAATCCACAGCTCTTAGCAATGTAAACGTACCTGGCTCCATAAGCAGCCTGTCCATCAGTTTTGGGTTTGCAGTCTTTTCAATAAGCTGGTCTCAAATGTAAAGAGTGCTGCGAACTGTCTCAGCTCAGCAACATAGTGGTGAACAGAATCTATCTCACCCTGACACCCTGAACTCTGGTCACTAAAGAATTTGTGGCTGGTTTAAAATGATTCTTTCCTGGTTTGTAAGAATATCCTATAGCCTTTTGACTCTAATGAGCTAAGAAGCAAGGTCCTCTGCTTCTCAGGTGAGACCCATCCATGATGCTAGTAAGCAGATTGAAAATGGTTCATACAAGAGATACCAGTGTACTGTTGGCTCTCCTAGATGTTGCAGAAATTTCTCTGGAGGCTGTGCACACAGATCACGTATCCTCATTGCCATAGTTGTGTCTTGGAAATGCAAGCAGACTGTTAACAGGTCACCATCTTTATTAATCCCATAAACTTCTTGCTCCAACACCTCCTACTATCACTTAAACCCTAAAGTAGAAATAAGTGACATTTTCTCAAAATGGCAATACACAGAACCTAACAAATACACAACAGGAAGTAATTATGTAACCTCCGGAACATTTCCAAAATCCGCCCTTCCTGACCAATGACACCACAAAACAACTCATCCACGCCTTGGTTATATCCTGCCTTGATTACTGCAACTCCCTCCTCACTGGTCTACCTTTACACAGGCTATCCCCCCTTCAGTCTATTATGAATGCTGCCACTAGACTTGTACACCTTACCAACCGATCAGCGACTGCTGCCCCTCTCTGCCAATCCCTCCACTGGCTTCCACTAACCCAACGTATAAAATTCAAAATACTAACCACAGCTTACAAAGCCATCCACAACACTGCCCCTAGCTACACCACCAACCTCATCCACAGATACCGCCCAAATCGCCCACTCCGCTCCTCCCATGATATCCTCCTCTCTAGCTCTCTCATCACCTCCTCCCACACTCGTCTCCAGGACTTCTCCAGAGCCTCTCCCATCCTCTGGAACTCCCTACCACAGCATGTCCGGTCAGCCCCCACCCTGACTGCCTTTAGGCGATCTTTGAAAACTCACTTCTTCAGGGAAGCCTACCCCACCTCCACCTAAGAACTGTACTTGAATCACCTCCGCCAGATCATCCCCCATAGCTATCACCTTTTGTATCACCTCCCCCTTCCTTTAGATTGTAAGCTCCACAAGCAGGGCACTCCTATTCCTTCTGTACTGAAATGTATTGTAATTGTACTGTCTCCCTTATATTGTAAAGCGCTGCGCAAACTGTTGGTGCTATATAAATCCTGTATAATATTAATAATAATTATAGTGTAGAGTTCAACACTAATAAAAGCCATACCAAATAATTATAGCAGACCTAAAGTCTAAACATGTACAATTACACCAGTGGTCCCATATTGTACAGAAAGATATTATATTAGTGAAACTAATAAAAATGATGTTCTGTTTTCTTTTTTGGGGTTTTATGCACAAAAATGCTTGAGTCTTTTTTTTTCTATTATTATTTATATGAATTATACCGTGTGAATCAAAACTCTCAAATACAAGCTATTTTGGACTGGTCCACCTTCTTCTTTTATTTGAGGGAGGATGAGGTTGCAAGTTTAATCACTTCTGTAATCAGCTTAACATATGCAATTAGTTGAAAATTTGCGAAGTGTTGCAATCTGAAAAATGCTCATGGCAAAAAACACTGTCTAGCTTTTTTACCTTCTAAAATACAGGTGTTTCCTAACACTGTTGTCAAGAAATACGAGACACAGTCATCCCATACTTTCCTGAAATCCAACTAGCTGAATGTGTATAAATAAAAAGCCTACTCCCTGTGACAAGATAAACTCAGCGGGATCTGTCACACATTTTAGCAGCTGACAGCATAGTATTTTGTCAGATAGCACGCTGCACTTAGCTTTTAACTGAGTAATTGGTCGCATGCTTTCCAGAAAGTATGTTTTTCTCACCTTTGGAAGGGTGACGCCACTTCAGTACATTTTCTCCCACATGTAATAGGACTGAAAGGAAGTGAAAGTATTTTATATTGCATTTCTTTCCTGCCCAGTGTTTTAACTACCCTAAACCACTTCCTCTCATCATTATAACAATAGGATACAATTGTACTGGTGAGAAGCCTCCGGGCTACACATGGTCTACTCCAGCTACTCTAACCCATCATTATGTCCTCTCTCTCTCTTATCAGTAGCTGTATGTGAATTTCAACATAAAACGCTAATGTGCCACTGACAACATGGCAAAATGAGAAGTTGCTTAAATACACCTGTCAAGTATAGCTTCAGATTCAGAAAAACAGACATTAAAGAACTACTCTAGACACCTCAGCTTAGTTCATATCTGTGTTCTCTGAAAACCAAACAATTTTTGTGATACTAAACTTTAGGCAGATATGGAAAGTGCATCTGTAGAGAATGTTACTAACCTACTCTACAGTTTAAAAAATAACTCCACCTAACACTGATAATCAAATCAGAGAGCAAGATCCAAATCTAAATCTAAATCTGAATGCAGGAAAAATAGCTTTTTAAAACAATCCCCTCTTATGATGGTTGTCCCACATTTAGGGATGCTGTTGCATTATGGTAAACGTGGTTTCATTAATTCCATTGAGATCTGTCACTTGGAGGTACTGTGTTATTTTCCAGTTGAAATACATACTACCACATCTGATTTGAAACCAAGTCAAACTCCTCTGGAAAAGTCACAGCCAGAAAATAATGGATAGCTCAATGAGTAGAGATCAGTTACTGGTTTTGGCTTACAGTGAGATAATAACAGTTTTGTAAGTACCTTAATGTGATTTTAAACCTTCATTTTTTAATTATAGCATGTTATACTGATCTGCTCTGTGCAGTCCTCCTCTTCTCTGGTCCCCTGCTGGTGCTCCTGGCTCCCCCCGCTCTGTGACTCCATAAATACACAGAGGATTGCCCCACGCTCAATCCTCACTGGCTGTGACTGACAGCAACAGGAGCCAATAGCTCCCTCTGCTGTCTCTGAGCCAATGAGGAGGGAAAGAGCCGAGAGCCGTTGGCAGTTGGTGCCAGTTGTTGTGCTCAGGAAAAGTGTTACTCTGACAATCAGATACTGGCGAAGGGCACAAGAACTTGGGGGCCTAAACTGAAAGCCGAAAATCAAGTTTCACCAAGCTCTCATTGTGAACTCATAGGGGGCATTAGTGGTTGGTGGAAAGATACCCCCTTATAAATGGTCAGTTTGAAGAAAAATGTCTTTATATTGGTGGTCTGTGGGAAAAATGTCCTTTAATGACAGCTAAGAAAACCACTGGCATCACTGGTTACATATATAAGAGATGAGAGGTGATATAGCACTGTTCTTTTACCTCTTCCCAATGATGTTGACTCTGAAACTACACAGGCACCATTAGCCAGGAGATCATTTGAAACTAACAACCTACATTACTACCTGCACCTGGATCGACTGCTTCCACCTCCCACCCTCTGTATGCTTTAGCTGAGTTTTGGTTGGTTTGGTTGGTAACTTACATGCAGATAACTCACCACCAGGGGCGGACTGACAACTCCTGGGGCCCCCGGGCAATAGGGGATCATGGGGCCCCTGTGTCCTTGCTCAAACTCAAAAAAGCCTATGAAAAAGGTACCAGGGGCATCTCATGGGGCCCCCTACTGACCCCGGGCCCTCGGGCAGTGCCCGAGTTTCCAAATGGTCAGTCCGTGCCTGCTCACCACTTGATACCCACTAACATGCAAATCAGCTTTTAAAGAATTAAAAAAGAAACCATAATAAATGGACTTCTGCACTTGAATTGTTATATCAGTGCTGCCATATTTTTTAGTAATAGTAGTTTGTTCTGTTATTTGTTGTATGTTTATAGAAAAAGTGTAAAATTCTTGGCAGATTGGCATGTACCTACCTAATTAGATTGTCCGAGTAGTCATTAAGGCCACTGTCATTGGACAGGTGATGGCTGGTGACAAGGCTTACCAGGTAAAGTCAGGTAAAGTCCGGCCTCCATAAAAAAAACATTGAAACTAGATCAGTGAGTGTTGTCTCTGGCTAATTAAAACAGCAACAGGCATACTGATGTGTCAAATCCTAGACAGGAATTTCACGTTTAAAAAAGTTAACTTGCAGTAACAAAGGCAAATATAAAGACTTATTCTGCATATACTATTTATTCTTGCAACAATAGCTCAAAATGTACTCCGATTCAACATGTAGGAAAGTTGAACTCTTGGAAGATATCAAAACACCACCATTTAAATAATTTAATAAAAAAATGGAAGAAAAGCACATTTACATGCAGCTAGGGTGGATATGTATCGGTATTTATATTTGCTTACTGTATTTTTCATTAGAACAGCACTCAGACTGGGAGAGGGAGCTCCATCATTAGCAGTCATTCAGCTCCCTTCTGCATGCACATATGCAACAGAGTGAGCAGAGGGACGACTCATCAATAGACTTGCTCTGCTCTGTCCAATCAGCAGCTTGGGACACGTTGACTCAAGTGCAGTGAATGTTAAAGAGCTACCTTACTTATTTTTTACTTGCCTGAAGTTCAACTTAAAGAAATAGCTAGATCATGGGTAAGTAGAAAAATAAGATGGCTGCACTCTGCACAATTCCAGTTTTGTATAAATCCATATAAAAACATACATGTACAGGCATATACAGGTAAAAAGGGATACGGGGGTGCATATAAACATCCATGGGTTTTGTGTTACACTATTTGTAATAGCTAGATGATGCTCATTTTTGGCCTTCATTTAAAGTGCAATTATAGATAACAATTATCTTTCAGCTATTTCAAGTAAAATAAAAATTCTGACTAGTTATTAATTATTGAATTTTGAATATTAGTCTTTGTTATACAAAAAAATGTATGATAACAAGATATTCACTACCCATAAGAAATCTTTTTATAGAAGCAGGATATAATAAATGTATTTAGCAGAAACATCAAGCACTTGAATAAGTGGCTATAACATATGTACCTACCCACACACATGTGCATGTGTTTTTATAGATTTGCCAGAGACATAATATGATAAAAGTAGTGCAAGATACATGGCAGTAGTTAAAAATAGCAGTATTCAATGGGAAAACTGAAACAGCTCCTGAGAAGACTAGGAGATAGACTTACTGCAGAACCAATTAGCACACGTAACAAATCTATGTGAATAAATTTACACAAAATTGTGGTAATTAGTGGCCACATTTTCCCATTGAATTCATCATGCTGCAGACATTAATTATATCCACCTAATCATTGTTGTTCATCCTCTTGTGCAACATGGCAGATTCACTCAACAATAATGACATTTTTAAAGATCCTCAATCAAGGGTGTAATTAGTGCGTTATTGGTTGGTGAAAACCGTTCTGCGAAAGTCTATGAGTCGACAGGTAACAGATGTCAGCCTATAGGGGCAAATTATATTGAAGCAAATAAAGTAGCACTGTAATGGTTTACTTACATCACATGGGTTAATGCATCAGGGGCAAAAAGCCCATAAACGACATCCTATAATAATTGAATGTATGCAGGCATATGTTTTTCTTGCTGGTATTTATGTTGGACAGTTATGTAATACATACAAATTCTGAAGCACTCAAACAAGTACAAAGAACCATTTAGAGTAGTCCTTGCTCCAGCATTGCTCACAGTCATATGTACTATACTTACCACAGTCATGCAAAGGCACTCATGCACTCTAGGACAAATTTGGATCCAAGCCAATTAATCCATTAATATATTATTGTATTGGAGGAAAGACCTAAAGAATATACAAAGAGGAATCCCCTCTGATGCTTAAGTGCTGGCAATATATTTTTTATCAACCTGGAACCCCGCTGACAGCTGAAATATGAAAGAATGCTTTCACTTCTAAAATATCGCATGACTTAATAAGATAACACATGCGGTATTTTAGTAAGTGTGTGGTATCTTACGCATACTCAGATTCAGTAAGATACCACTTAGTGAATTGTCCCCTCTGTTCAAACTTCGCGGTCAAACTTTTGTTAGGGTCAAATGTTCAAGCCGCGAACTGCACAGGGGAGTGTTCGGCCCCATCACTAGCACCCATGTGTGCCAGCTTCATTCTTAACCTCTTCACGCTGGCCAAACGCAAATGTGCAGCCTCCCGGCGTCTGGGCCTAGACGCCAAGCGTCCCAGCACACATGTCTGGTACTCACGAAAATGTCCCGATCTCCTCTTTCGATCGGGACCTTTCCCGATCATGTGACTGCCGTGACGGCCCCGCCTACCGGCTTCTGAACCCTTAATGGGTCGGGAGGCACCAACATGAAGGGGTTAAAAGAGCCACTGTCAGTGCTCTTGATACACAAAGCAAGAGATGGCTGAGCACTGCAGATTAGGCCAGGAGGCTTACTCTTCTAGTATAATCTGTGGAAGTGTAGGTCCATGGCCCCAGCTGTGCCCCCTACCCTCAACACAACACCCTAAGTGGGAGCCTCTTCAGTCTTTACATTGGCCCAGCCTTGGCCACAGCAGTACATCATACAAATCTTCATTCTTGCAAAATTGTTAATCTCTTCATTACCTTCATCATACCATGTGAACATGTAATATTTGGGCTGTTTTGTTAGATGAACAGTCTTCTTGCCTATCTATCATTCCATTTTTCAGATAAACAAAAGCTTGAAAATGTGCATTTTTTGTACTTTAATTTTAATATCGTCTGTTATTACCACATGTGTACTTTCTGAACAAACATTTTTTCAGTGTCACTGTTTATCGAATGATGTTCCATATAAAGCTCACAAGTACACACCATTATAAATTCCATATAAAGGTCATGGGATTACAAGCGGCACTCAAATACCAGAAAAAAAAACTTCCAACAATCTTATTATAATAAGTACAATAACTGGATACTTTAAAAAACATTTTTTTTATTATGGCAATAAAAATGGCCGCAGCACTTTATTGGTTTACAAAATGTTAATATGTAATAAACAAATAATGATTTACTGTATTACTTATAATAGTATTTCATAACTATACGTAGCTTAACTTTTTCTCAGTTACCATAACTCCAGAAATCAATAACAATTTATTTTTTAACAAACATCCCCACCAGCTGGACCTTGTACAAAGAAAAAGCCGGCCCACCCCATAACCACGGCCTTCTCAGTTCAAGATTGTAAACTCAAGTAAAAATATCCAGAAAAACATCAGAAAGGTGCATCCCATGTTGTCTATAAAGGCCAGGAATACCAGCTTCCAGATTAATGTGGTGATAAGAAAAACCTCCAAAAGGAAGGCAAAAACTTCTCAATCATTTGCAAATCTTCTCCAAAGCCTTGCAATGTGTGGAGGTGGAGGAGGCCAATATAAAATATAGGAGTGCCCCACGATCCATAGACAGCATGTATGACCTAAAAATTAAAGGAAGAGATTAGGGTGAACATAAACCTGAAAACTTTATGATTCCCACCTACCCAATTTCATGAAATCATCATCCTCAGACCAACCCATCCTGGAAGCCTCAGACGCCACCCCAATCTGAAAAGAGTGAGATATGAATTTGAAATGCTGCAAATTGAGAGCAGTAAGGCATTCCTTTAATACAAAATTAAATTGATATACTGTAAGGGGAGATCTACTTAAATGAATAAACAGAAGTCCACCAAAGGAAGGATGGAAGTAAGGCAGTGCCGCATAATGTCAATTGGACAAATACTCCGTGCTTCATCAGTTAATATCGTAATCCAAATCCAATCCAAAAACTGACAAAACATCTGAGGCTGGATGCTACTAACCCTGGGGTAAAGCCCTTATATGAATTTTACTTGTTTGATATTCTTATTTGTGCTGAAGATAAGTGAACTTTTGAGTTGTGTCTTCTGAAGTTTCATTTGCTGCTGGAAGCTATATATTGTTTGCTTTGAAAAAAAAATAAGCACCTTTATGCTTAAACAATCAACTTTGCATGTGGTCTCGAGGAGCTATACCCCTGAACTCTACAGCAGCATGACACATCGAAAGCAATTATGTTTTGTTGTTTCCAACAGATACAAAGGTGAAGGTGTGGGACAGAAAAAAAGGGGAAAAAACCTGTGCTACACCCCAAACAATACAGTATGTGAATAAATGTGAAAAGAAAAATATATTCTGAAACAATAGTGAAACAATTAGTGAACTGCTGTTACTCTTTCCCTGAACACCAGAAAATACAAAACATATATAAAATTAGTGTGCTGTACACTAAAAAATCATGAACAATAATAAATCAAATAAATACTGCTCCATAAAAAATGTGCATAAATTAATTGAAATTATATAAGTCCACATTTATATATTAAATAATTGAAAGTCCCAAAATCCAATAGCACAGCGCTGTGTGCTAAAGAAATCCTCCAACAGAAAGTGCATAGGTGTCCAAAAATGCTTGACACAAAAGAAAAAAATCTGCCTCTTACCAGACACTTTGATCTCCAATCAAGAGATCAAACGAGCGGATGGTGTTCAGATCCCACACTGAAACCCTAGTTAGCCATATCAAGGAGATGAATAGGAGATGAATGGACAACTGCAGGTTCACTTGAACGAATCCATCACATCAGACAGCTCTCCACATCTTGCAAGGAAAGGTTTAAAACAGAAGAAGAAAACTTCATAGTGTGAGCCGATAAACCAGAAAAAAATGTATTAAAGTATTGCACTTACATAGATAAGGTGCATAAAGGCAGTGTAAACATTTAAAATTCCCGTGATGTCAGAAA